CACAGGGCTGCTCCAACTCTCCTTTAAAGAAGACTCAGATGCCCCAAAGCATCTGTGTTCCCGTCTTCTGCCTACTGATCATTAACTGCTGTGTCTGCTCTTTCTGTCCATTTATTTCTCCCATTCTGGATTTTCTGCTCTCCAGTGCAAGTCTGGGAGTCTCCATTTATATTTATGGTATAGACAGTGTCTCCCTCCATCTCTCCGCCTCTATTCTACTGGGCTTGGGCCCACTGGTTTTCAAGGGAGAGGGGAGATAATACATAGGAAGGCAGAGAGGAAGACGAAGGGCATGTACCTTTGTGTGTTCCAGGGGCTTATGTTATTGGTGTGTCAACCTGTTGAGCTCGTCCCTGTGTCTGGCATAATGAGGGATGAGTTCTAATCTCTCTGCTACTGACTTGCTGTGACCTCAGCAAGTCATCTACCCTCTCTAAACCTTATTTTTTAGTTTGTAAAAAATGATAAACTAGATGTGCTCCAAACTCCCTTTATACATCTGTCCTTGTGTTTACCATTCTGAGTGCTTGTGATCGGGAGGATGAGGGTATCCCTTTTGCTTGAGTGCACAAAGTGATGGGGGGAGATTTGATGAAACCCATGTGTCTACCTGAGTATCTAGGATGTTTTAGAGCAACTAAAATAAAACATTCAAAGATGAAAGTTCCTCATTACCTAGATTTCTCATCTAGAAATCCACTGTGGCTGGGGGAGCAGGACACCTGGGTTTGAGAATAAACTTGGCTTAATCCTCCCCTCCCTTTTTGACCCACATTCCTGAGCCTTTCAATGGCATAAATGGTGGAAATTAATTACAGCTAATAATTAATCTCTAAAGAGGTATAAGAAGCCCAGGCTTGGGTGGGGCCCAGACACCTGCAGGAAGGACAGCTCCTCAAGTTCCCTCTCTGCAGTACCAGGCACCTATGAGGGATGAGTGGGGCACCAGATAGAGCAAAGGGACTACCCACTATTTTCCCCAACAGCCTAATGAATGGCCCTCTCTTGGGTCCTCAAAGCTATATCGGGAGAACTGGAAAATCCAGTTACCCAGCTTCCCCCTCCCAGTTTTGCTCAAATACCTGTGCTAAGGATTGAGTGGCTACAGAAAAGCAGGCCTGGTAAGGAGAGGCTGACAGAGACTTCAGACTTCTCTTCTATCCATTCAAGAAGTAAGGTGGCCACAATGGAGACCAAGCTGCCCCTCTTCCTCCTCCTGACCCTCCTTGGCAGTTCACACGGAAGAGGTAAGGGCTGGACGCAAGGTTCCTCATAGCAAGAAGAGGCCAAGAAGGGGAGTAAAAGAGACAGAGACACCCCAGTCCTGAGCTCTCAAGGGTTCAGGACCCCTGCCTCAAGAGGGTCTGGAAGGGCATTGGAAGGGAAGAACTCAGGTTGGCCTGGGGTACTGGCGGGGAGCGGGGAGGAGGGGGTGTGCCCACATCTCCCAGGGAGTTCAGCCCTGATAGCTGGGTCCTAAGCGGTATTTTTTGATCCTTAGGGCCAGGAATGACTTTGCAGCTGAAGCTGAAGGATTTCTTTCTGGCAAATCCCTATGATTCCGGCTTCCTGGAATTGCTCAAAAAGGTAGTTCTTTTGGAGGGGATAGGATAGGCCTGTGTGAACTCAAAGTGTGTTTCTGAATTGGTTTGGGCCTCTCTGTTGGCACCTGGCTGTCTCTGGGTGTGAGAACCATCTCAGACCTCACCCTCTAACCCTTTCTTTCCCCCAGCTCTGCCTTCTCTTCCACCTTCCATCAGGGACCAATGTAACCCTCCATCAGGCAGGATTCCCATACCACATCACCTGCAAAGTCTGAGAGCAACTGAAGCCTGTGACTCCTGGATTGGGCATTTGGCTCCCCACGTATAGAGGGGATGCCCTGGCCCCATCTTCCAGCAAGCCTTCACCCCACTAAGTGGCAGTAAATATGCTGAATTTAGTGACTTTGTGGGTTCATGAGAAGAGGGCTGGCAGAAAAAAGGAATCAGATGCCCAAGTCTCTAATTCTCCCTCATGAAGCAAAGGGATTCTGGGATGGACGCTCTCTCCTTCAACGCCAGTGTCAAAGGCCTAGAAGGATCTGGGGACTTGACTGGGGATACACACACATCACACAGACATACACATGGGGGTGAATGCACACTTCAAGGTGAGATCTTCAGAACACCTGGGAATAAGGGAAAAAACATGTACTGAATCCCTACTTTGTTCCAGGTGTGACGCTTTCCCATGTCAATGCTTGCAGCAATCTTAATCTTGTAGCATGATAGGTATCATTATCCAAGTTTACAGATGAGACTTAGAGAGGGTAAGCCACTCATATGAGGTCCATTAGCAGTGGAGAGGTCAGATACCAGACAAATACTTTAGCTTAAGCAAGATTTTAATTTCCTCTCCTTTTGCTTAAGTTTTGGGGCTGGGGGCTCAGAACCCAGACAGGGATGTGGACAGAACACCCTCAGGACGTGAGTTCCCTAAGTCAGGGATCCACACAGGTCAATCAAGGTAGGAGGTAGGGTGGGAGGCAGCTCATATGAGAGATAAGGGGTTCGGCTTGTGAGAAGATGGCCAGCTGGCCTAAGTGGTGGAGGAAAGGGGATGGGTGCTAGCAGAGTCACACAGGCCCATGCTTGAGTTCTCGGTGAGTTTCTTATCCTTGTGGAGGCTGCATATCTTCACCTGCAAAATGAGAATAATGATAGTGCCTGCTTCACAGGATTGCTGTGAGGACTACACAGATAAACTTCCTAGATAAGAAGGCTTAAGCAGTAGCGATTATTGTTGCAGTTGGAAACCTGGTCCCAACACATAAGTCCTATCAGGGTCCAGAGTCCTTCTCCTGATTTTCTTGAGGCAGGTATTCATCCAACTCCTCACTCGAGATTATCGAGATTATCTTGATTTCTTACCAGCTGTCTGAAAATGCAAGCATGCACCCAAGGCTTGACCACTGATATGATTGTTTCCTGTTCTCCACAATACAGCCCCTCCCCCCCACACCATACCCCCACCCAACAATCACCACCACCATATGAAATTAGAGCCTGACTCCTTTGGAGGGAAGTGAAGATAACAGTTCCCTCTGGAGCATCCCTAAAAGCGAGAGGAACACAGGAAGTGAGAGAGTAAAAATAAGAACTCACAAAATTTCTCCAGTTTTCTTTATAATTGTCCTGGGACAATAAGCCCAGAGGAGGGGTAGCTTAGGGCCCCAAAAAGCACAGTAGCTCATGACCTGCCCCTAGCCTGCACTAGTGGCCAAGTGACACTCATGGGTCAAGTGTGTAACTTCAAACAGTTGGGGGAGTAGATATCTGGATCTCTAAAAGTCTGGAGGAGCAGACAACTAACTGCTCTTGAGCCTGGTTCCTAAATCTCAGAACCAGGGATGACTGGACTATCATTTGCAGATTCTTTTCTCAAAGAATTCTCTTCCCAGACTCTAGACATAACAGTACAGTGAAAGGAATGCTTTTCATTAGTTCATTAGACCTCAGGGTGGCGGAGACTGTGAACTGTTCCCTAAAAAGCATTCTCCTCCTTTCACATAGACATTTAATTTTAGCCAAGTATCTGGATCATTCTATTTTCCAACTCCTTTACAGGTAGGAATGGGCATGTGATTAGGTTCTTTCCAACTGGATGCAAGTAGAAAGGAATTATGCAATATGCAACTTCCTGGTGCTATCTTTGAAAGGAAAAGAGCTACCATTTCAGAAGGAATAAAGTCCTGAGAACGGATAAAGTCCTTACGAGGTCCTACCTAGATCAGTACTTTCCCACAGAATTTTCCATGACGGAAATGTTTTAGAATCTGTGCTGAGCAATATGGTAGCCACTAGCCACATGCAGCTATAAACACTTGAAATGTGGCAAGTGTAACTGAGGAAATGAATATTTAACTTTAATTACTTTATGTAGTCAAATGGCTACCATTTTGGACAGCACAAACCTAGATAATCTGCCTTGAGCTCTTCCAAATCTCTACTCCACTGCTAATGCCCAACTTCACTTCCCACTCCTCCCCCTTCAGATATAATGGTGGCTTAGGTGAGACAGACCTTTTGCTGGGCAGTAGTGCAGGGCTCTGCAATAATGGGGGCCCACTCCCTTTTAATATTTTCCTGCCTCCTTGCTACTCTGAGTACTCCAGGCATGCTCCCATCTTAGTTTTGCTCTGGCTCTTACCTCTACCTGGAACACTGCTCCCAGATACCCACTTGGCCAATTTGAAGCTTGGTTAGAGCAGCCAGAACAAACCTGCATGTAAATTTATTGGGTTGAATCTGTTGATACTTAAGACAAACTACTTTTAAACTCTGAGCACATTTCATCTCTAAAATGAAGAGAATATTCACCTCTGTAGCTCTCTGGTGGATTCAATGGCACGAGGGAGGCCCCAGCCCCTGACAGTCCTGCCATAAATAGCTACTCAGAGCTGCTGTTCAGAGTGGAATTTGGGCGTAGAAAGGCGAGGCCCCTGAATTCCACTGAGATGAGACAAAGTGTTTGGGGTAAGCAGGTGGGTTTCTGTGCATCTGCATATACCTCGGTCAGAGGTTTGGCAGTGTGTCTTTGGCACTCTGGTCTCAGGTATACAGAAAGGGGAAGGGACACTCAATCCCCAGCACACTCTGCAGCCCCTCAGGCTTGGAGGAAGTCCCTGCTCCTATTGGCACCCCTGGGGATAGGGCCAAGGAGCAGGGAAGCTTCCATTGGTAAAAAGCAGAGAAGGAAGGGCCTATAGAAGTCGTGGCATTGTTAGGAAGTCCGGGAAGTAGGCAGAACCCTGGTCGCTGTGCAAGGTCCTCCTAGAAAGCTCCTCTTGCCTCCCATGAGGCATGCACCTCCCAGCACCCACACTCCCACTGGGGCCCAAGCCCGAGGCTAAGAGCTAAGAGACAGGTCTCCTTTTCCAGAGTCTCAGGGAACAACTACAAGACAAGAAAGTCACCACTGGGGAAAAGAGGGATTAAAGAACCACAGGCAGACACATCTAAGATTTTTAAAGTTTATCTGAATTTCTTCATTTCTAAACTTCCAGGTGGGACTACACAGGAGGGAAGCTGGAACAGGACTCTGAGTATCTCAAGTGATCCACAGTCACTCTGACCAAACTAGTCTGTTTCTTCATTTACAAAATGAGGGAGGTGGATCACATGGTCTCTGAGGCCCATTGAGCCAAGAGCTGCTGAATCAGTTTGTCCTCTAAAGCAGGTGTGGGAGGGAGGAAAACCGAGGGATGGGAAGTGAGAGCTCAGGATTCCCTGGGGCTGGGAGATATGTCCATCAGCTGCCGGAGGTGAGAGACTGCTCTGTCCAGTTTTGACAATTCTAGTTGGAGGGAAGAAAGCTGGACAAGGAGAGAAGCAGGTAAGGATCCAGGTATGAGGCCCCACCTGTCTAGTCCATATTCCCTCAGGGAGATGGGCTTCCTGGGCAGCCTCCCCGAACCTCACCCTGTGCTGCCTCTGAGTCTCCACCTCTCCCTCTGATGGGGTCTTGGCTACAAGGTTGTCAAGCTGTTTCTGCAACTTATGTCTTCGGGCAGCTAGCAGAGGTAGATGGGTCTGGGGGTCCACCAGGCCCTGCAGAAGAGAGACACATATGCAGCCCACCCAGCACCTCCTTCCACCCCATGCTAAGACCCTGCCTCACTTTTATTGAACTTGCTCCTTGCCCTCCCCTCCCAACATCCTTTTTGACCCTTCCTCCCCCTCCAAACTCCTCTGGGCACCTGCAGCTCCATGTAGATCTGAGTGGTGTCACTGAGTGTGGCCTGGACCCAGCCGGAGGGAGCCGCTGCACCTGGGGGTAAGAGGCCCACGGCCCCACAGTGGCCCAGGGTGCCCAGGGGCTCTAGGAAGGCTTCGAAGAGGCCCTGCTCTCCAGGCTCTGAGCTCTGCAGCAGCACTGGAGAAGACATGGAATCCATCAGGGTCAAGTCCTGAGATCCCACCTCCCTTCTCATTCTGCACCTCCTAACTCTCTGGGCTCTGCCCATAGGGCTTTCCCCTCTGCCCTGCCAGCCTGCTCCTTCTGCAGAAGGCACCCAGCACATGCCTCACCTCGGGGCCGGGCCTTGGTGAGCTGGTAGGAGGCTCGGAGAGCCCTCAGCGCCTGCACAACCTCTTGGACCCGGGAGAAGTGCCGTTCCAGCTCGGGCTGGTGCCAGTGCTCCTGGAGATGGGGACCCAGGGTTGACCAGCAGGCTCCTGGGAGACTTATATCAATTCTCCTGGCTCTATCCTCCACCCGCCCACCCCCATCTCCTCAGGGCAGCGGGATCTGTCCTTTCCACCACACACAAAATTCACCACCTCAAAAACACAGCAAAAACTGGGGAATCATCTAAGGTCTTAGATGATCAGTGGTTTATGTCTATTTAGTTGCTCTGACTGAAGATGGCAATCAAAATTAAAATGATCCAAACCTCACAAAACTAATAAAGAAATTCAGTTAAGATTTAAAATGATCTTTAGCATAAGGTTGCTGCATTTATCCTACTCAAGTTATTAAAGCTTAAAACTGCACTGAGAATTTTGGGATATCCCATTACCAACATCTAATCCTCATCACAACTGTGACATGGACTATTGCTATCCTTAGTTTAAAAATGGGGGAATATAAAAATTTTTTTAAT